AACAGATGTGAATATGGCTACTTTCTGTTTTAACACAATGTATATCAAATGGAAACCTTTTGTGTATTAAACAGAATGCCATGGTATTTTATTACTTTAAGGCAGTTTAAAGAGAAGCGTGAATCATCAAGCCTATAACAGTAAAACACATTTTGATCAACCCTTCTGTTCAAACTTAAGAAAAAAAGGACCAGAATTATAACATTTTCAATTGCAAATAAAAACTGAGTGCTGTCTCATTAAAAGCATTGGTACCATGGAGTAGGGTTTTAAGCTGTCCACACAACTTGGTGTTGGAGATGCCTACCCTGTATTATATTGATTACTTGCCCAAAATAATTCCTCTGATCTCATGTTTCATCTCTGAATAACACTCAGAATTTATCCTACTTAGACCTGCATACATGTTCTAGAGAGAAAAAACAAAAACAACCACCAAAAAAATTTCCACCTTGCATACTAGTCCCAATTACAAAACTTATTCATAATTCTTAGGACTATGTGCAAGAATTCTATGTTTAAGACTAAAATTTGAAATAAATTAACAATATAAATGATGTGAGATAACAAAATGCTAATACTAAAAATGAGATACCTTCCTCAAAGTTTATGACTGGAAGAAAAGAAGAAATAATGGAGTTTTAAAACCACCGCTTGCTTACTTTGGTGTTCATATTCTGTGAAAATTCCAAAATTGTGTCGACTCTTGTCCATGCATCAGGATGCTCCTTTAAATGTGTCAGGACTTCTTGAGCCATTCTTTGCTAAATTACACAAAAAAGAATTTTAAGTTAACATGTTCTTTTGAATTCAGTATTGAGCAAAGCACATACTCATAGGACAATGAGTCTACCATCTTTTGAAAACATCTGAGACATGACCCTAGAGAAAAATTAATAGAGATGTATTAAGTATACTACTCTTTAGTCTTAATTTAAAATGAGGCCAACACCAAGTGGGTGCACATCTGTAATTCAGGAACTCAGGATATGGAGGAAGGAGGATCTCAAGTTTGAGCCCACCCTTGGTTATATACCCAGTCTAAGGCCAGCTGGGGCTACAGAGAAGACCTTGTCTCAAAGACAGAATAGTCATTTCTTTGAAACAGAAGTCTCCCTCACCCTCATAAATCTGACTTGTGTTCCCATAACTCAGAACTGAATTTGAGACCAGACATGGTGGTACACATCAGTAATCCCAGATACTCCACAGAGGCATAAATCTGGGTAAGTGGTGGTTTGAGCCCAGCCCCAGTGAAAGTTAACAAAATCCCATCTCAAAACCACCATACCAAGCCAGGCATAGTGGTACATACTTATAACTCCAGATACAAGGGAGGCAGCCCTGGGCATAAACATGAAACCCTATCCAAAAACTAGGCTGAGGAAATGTTTTTAAGTGGTAGAACAAGAACACTTGCCCAATAAGGAGACCCTGAATTCAAACCTGTGGAGGGTGGCTCATTGGTAGACCACATGCTTAATATATATAAGGGTCTAGGTTTAATCCCCAACACCAAAAAACAAGAGTGCATGCAAGCATATGGCCTTGACTTCAGACTCTGGCACCATAAAAATTAAGAAAAAAGAAATAAATTCAGCTGGGACTGGAAGCATGGCACCAATGGTAGAACACTTTCCTAGCATGCACAAAGCCCAACTGGATTTAGTCCTCACTACAAAAAATAAATAGTAACAATAAACTCAACTAAATGCTAATAAATCTGCTTAGAAGTTAAGTTCTCAGCATTTCCAATCAACCAAAAGCACCACATAAAAAATCAGTATCTACTTTTTATAGTGTTATCCTTTTTTTGTTTTGGGGGGGGGGGGAAGGCCAGTAATGGGGATTGAACTCCAGGCCTCATACTTGCTAGGCAGGCACTCTACCACTTGAGCCACTTCCAGCCCCATGTATTGGATATTTTCTCACAACTATTTGCCCGGCTGGCAATCCTCTTGATCTCTGTCTCCCCAAGTAGCTTGGATTGCAGGCATGAACTACAGGCCCTGCTAGTGTCATACTGATATGAGTTATTAAGGTATCTCTACGCAACTTTATCTTTAAACTTAAATTTCATTAGACCAATGAAAACCAGATCAAATAATACTACACAATTCAAATACCTGTAGGGATATATAAAACCTGACAACTTTTATATGGAAAACCACACTATTTCCATTCTGAAATTCCATGTGTTTTAAATATTAAATCCTAGTTTGTTTTGTAAACAGTTCCTTTTTTTTTTAAAATTCAGACCCACAAATATTAACCTATGGATGTATCCATAATCTAAAATTAACATGTTAACATTCTGTTGTACTTCTATCAGGTTTCTTCTGTGTTTGTGTTGTGCTGGGAATTTAATCCATGACCTCCTGAACCATGCTCTACCACTGAGCTGAATACCCCCCACACCCTAACCACTTTTTTGTTGCTTTGATTTTTATTTTATTTTGAAACAGGTTCTCACTATGTAGCAGAGTTTTTTAACACAGAACTAAAAGCATTCATGGAAGTCATCATTATACTTTTCCCTACTAAACTACATATTAACAGTATTTAGAGGTCTGGAGACATCTCTTAAGTGGCAGACCATAGGCTGGGCAAATATGAGAAACCCTGGGTTTAATCTTCAGTACTGGGGAAAAAAAAAAAAAAAAAAAGGAGTATATACAATTTCTTCTGCATTATCCACAACTTACTTTTTCCATCTAACAGTTTTTAAGATCCAGCTATACCTGGGCACCAGTGGCTTATGCCTGTATAATCCTACCTACTCTGGAGATAGAAATCAGGAGGATTGAGATTCAAAGCCAGTCATGGACAAATAATTCTCCAGAACCTTTCTTAAAAATACCCAATATAAAAAGGGCTGATGGAGTGGCTTGAGTAGAAGGCCTGTGTAACAAGTATGAGGGTCCTGAGTTCAAACCCCAATAACCTGCCCCCCAAATCCATTCATGTTGACATTATATAGGTAGCTTCTACACTTTAACCATTAAGTTTTTTCAGATGATAAGCGCATTTCACCACAGAAAATTCTAGTCACACTGACATTTTCTCAGTAAACAGCTTGAGCTGGGGGTGGAGCTCCAGTGGTAGAACACTTGCCTAGCATGTACAAGGCCCTGGGTTCAATCCCCAGAACCTCACCAAAACAAAACAAAAAAAGCAATAGTTTTATCTTTCTCACTCAATCCCTTTTATCTTTAAAGGTCATTTTGTAGCACAACTAGATCCTTCCTCTTATTTCTATCAAAACTTAGAAGCAAAAAGTTTAAAGGTATTAAAATTTACCAACTAGCACTCACAAGGTCTGGGGTTCAATCCCTTGTGTAAAACTCCTCTCCCCTAAAATGAACTACCCTTCTCTTTACTTCATCAAAGAATTTAATTCTATGGATTATAAACAAGAAAGCATCAAAGATTACAAGGATGCACTCTTACATCATGAGTACAACAGATTCTGCATAATCATTAGCTTGGTTTTCATTCTCACTTCAAAAACTCATGCATATTTGAGCTGTGACATTAATAAACAGCAAATATCGTATCTGTGATTTGTGATTATCCTTTTAATCAACAAACAATACAAATAGCTTGTTTAAAAAGAGATACAAACTCAGTAACTTACATATAGTGGTTCTCTACCCCTCAAACCCACCAGAGCTACTATGGAACTTAAAAGAAGTCAGTTACTTGCATTCCATTGTGAGGGTTTGGGGTTTTTAGAAGTTAGGCATTAAAACTTAAGTATTTATTTGTTCCTTCTTTCATTCACTCATTATACAAGGTCTGGCTACGTAGCCCAGGCTGGCCTCAAACCTTTCCCAGTGCTGGCATTATAGAGGTGTACTACCATGTCTGACTATATATATTTTTAAATTTGACTTCATTAAGGGACTAATAGCTCTAAGGAGCTATCAATATGTCAGATAAGAAATGAAGAAAGGCAGAAAAATAATGATACAAAGTTATCTAGGACCAAAGCACTTTTCAGTAGTGTTTCAATCCTCTCCTGAAGAACATCTAACTATACATCTAACTACAGGGATTGGAGGTGTGGCTCAAGTGGTAGAGCACCTGCCTACTAAGTATGAAGCCTTGAGTTTAAACCCCAGTACCGTTAAAAATAAATAAATAAATATTAAAAAAAAAAAAAGTACTCTGTATCTAACTAGAGATGCAAGCTTACATATAAAATAACAAATATTAAGAGGAAAAGCTATGACAGACACCCAGGCCTAGTAAAACTTATTTGGTCAAACTGCTACCATCAGATCTTTTGAAAGTGATGAGCATTCTATACATAAACACTTCTCACACTAGCACCACTCATTTCAAGCTCTACATGTATTAAGCTGATTCTAATTTTATTCTCTGAAGTTACTGCTAGTGTTTACACCCTAATACCTAGTTTGTCTTAATCCTACCATGCTTACATAATATTATTTTGTTACCTTAAAACCCCAGCAGGAGTTTAAACAACAACAAAAAAAGACACAAAAGGAAACAAAAGAGGAAGAAAATCTATCATCTCCCCTGTGCTACTAACTGGATGGTGAAAGCATTTTAGTTGCTAAGCAATAGATTTAGAGTTCAAGATACTTAACACAATATTGGAGAAAACATTCAACTCTTCCCTATTTTTCCCCCCCGGCTGTCTACTTGACTAAAAATAGAAAAACACCTGTAACATAAAGCAGTCCTAATGTTACAGTGCTAAATATTCCACTATACTACCCATCTAAGCAAAATTCTATATATTACCCTATAGATTAAGAGGGAAAATAATTTCTAAAGTTATTCCATCCTTTAAAAAATGTTCTCTCTCAGGCTGATGGACAGCACCTGACGGACTTAAGCGGGAGAGCATCTGACTGCCTAACAAGCCTGAAGTTGAGTTCAAATCCCAATATCATCAATAAATTAATAAATAACTCTCAGCCAGCCAAAGGTGATAGTACACAGCTACTAAGGAGGCAGAGACAGGAGGATTAAGGGTTCAAAGCCAATTCCCAGTCCAGGCAAAATTAGGAGACCCAACCTCAAAAACAAAATAAAAACAAAAGGATTAGGGATGAAGTTCAAGTGGTTAAGAATGCTTGCCTATCAAGCTAGAGGGCTCTGGGTTCGATTCCTAGCACTGGGGGAAAAAAAGAAGTTAGGCTCCTCTGTTGACTTTCTAACTTTAATTAGCATAATAAATTTTAGTTTCCTTTTTAGCACTTATTTTGGTAGCAGCAAAAAAACTTAATGTGCGTACCAAATGAGCACTCTACCACTGAATTAACACCCCCAGCTCTTTTTTACTTTGACATAGGGTTTTGCTAAGTTGCTCAGCTAGTCTTGAACTTTTGATCCTCCTGCCTCAGCCTCTTCCCAGAACCAGGATTACAGGATGGTTTAAAGGTACCCTTTTTAAACAGTGACTTCTATGTATCAAACTGCAACAGGAGCTTTGCAAACCTCATTACTAACCTTCCTATTTCTTAAAAAGGTCTTGTTAAGTAGCCTAGGCTGGGCAAACGAGATCTTCCTACCTTCACCATCCCCCACTCCACCATGCCAGGATTACAGCGTATAGTGCCACGCCTGCAGTAGGTAGCATTTGTATGTGGGACTGTAGATGACTAGAGAACTTCCCAGAAGCAAATTAAGACATTTAATATCAAAACCATGTTTTTCATTATAACTATCTACTTTCTCCTTTGAAACAAGATCCCCAGGTACGTGGTTCAAACCCAGAGTTGACTTCAAACCACCATCTTCCTGATCTCTGCCTCCAGAGTAGAGGCTGCAATGTAAATCTTGACAATATAAAATAACTCCCTGCCTATTTAGCAGAACACTGCCCAGCCAGGAATCTAATATTTTGACAACAAAACTTTTGGCGTGTCACATTAAATGACTTTTGATTTGAGTGCAGACATTTTTACTCACTCAAAACTGTTTTTAATGGTCTGGAATAAATATAGCTCAGTGGTTGAGCACTTGCCAGCATGCACAATCCCTGGGTTCAATCCCCAGCACCACAAAACATCCAAGCAAATGAACTGTTTAGCTCCATAGGTGGTGTCTAGTTTCATGTGTCTTATACAATTTAAATGATTACATACATTCCTGGCTCACCAATTTCTTTTTTTGGGGGCAGTACTAAGGATAGAATCCCGGACCTTGTGTATGCTAGACAACCTTTATCATGAGCTGCATCCCCAGTCCTTTCACCTAATTATAAGTAGACATTTAAAAATAAAAAATCTAGTACCTTACACTCATCAAAACACAGACTGTATTTAAGATAATTCTCTGTATTAACTACCACTTTTACAAGTGCACTGAATTCAAATAATGCAAAATTATTTGTATTGGATTTTTTAAAAAGTGTCTGAAGTACTTCTGTAACTTTTATGTTTAAAAACAAAAAAAATGATACTAACTCTAAATATGCTAAATATTATTATAAAGATTCACACAACCATTACTACCTAACGAAGCATCTCATACATTGGGCTCTTTTATTAAATAGAGGTCTTGAAGAACAATTATATACCAAAGTGACTCACTCTTAACCATGTCCAACACAGTACTACATAAGACTATAGAACATTTTTTTTAAAAAGTGGTAATTTACACCCAACAACTTTGTTACCATTTTAATACCAAGTTTTGCTCATTTACTTTACCTGGGCTCCTTCTCCATGGTATAAGCAATTCACCACATTGTCTAAAAGGTTGATATCCAGTTTTTGGCTGAAATCAAGCAGCTGACGAGCTGCATGGTCTGCTAACATTGTCATAATTGCTGGCATAGATTACTGAAAGAAAAAAGAATGCTCTTACAAATATTTTAATTACAGGATGAGAGCTGTATCTAATTACAAAACAGCCAATAATAAAAATAAGTAAAAAAAATTCAATTACTTAACTACTCCTTCTCAGCTACATTAGTTTTTAGGATTTTTAGACCTCAGAAAAATTTTACTTATCTACTAACATTTACAAAGTATGTTAATCTAGCTTTATAAATGAATCCACTACTAGAATGATGGCCCTAAAAACTGATAAGTTATAAGTTTTGAATGCAAATTTCTAAGCTTCATTTAGTGGATTTTTTTCCTTCCATAACAGGATCTTCTGGGTAGTTCACAATGAGTTCCCTTCACATATTTTTCAGATATGCTGAAAAGACAGGACAGTGTTAAATATTAAGTATGATTAAATAAGATTTCCTATTGTATACAGCAGTGATTAGGATAAGCAAGTGTCTTAACAAATTCTGGTATTAATTCCCTGTATACAATTTAGTTTCTACACTCAAATCATTCAAATGCATTTCTGTGAGCCCTCAATGAGTTTCGAAGATTAAATTAGCACTTACAACCATACATGTTCCTTGAATATATGGTCTAAAAGAAAAAAAATTATGGCAACATGCCAAACAAGGCTTTAAAAAATCTTCAGGTATTCAGGGGCAAAAGCTAGCCAATTTCCAAATAAAAACAAATTCTATCATAATGGGAGGGAGGGGAGAACAACGCACACCAGAACTACTTTACCAAATAAATGTACCTAGTAAAAACCTACTGATTCACATATGTAATGTTGCCCTAAGAGAATTCTACTCTAAGATGTGGGCTCATATCCATGCTTTTAGTTGCCTGGATTTTTTTTTATTTAACCTTTCTGTTTTTTCTTCCACAGCCAATGCTACAAAAGTCTGGTTGAATCAGTAACTAAACCTTTTTTGGATCAGGATGCCACAGAATCCAGAACACCATAGCTCTAGCCTAATTTTCACTTACAATTTTGTTTACAATTTAAGACGATTTGGAACACCATGAAACCTTTAATGTACAGTATTTAGAAGATCAGTCACCTTCATTTCTTCCTATTTTAGAAGCCTTCCAGAATCAGGAAATGAGCGATTTGATAACATTGTGTTTGGATAAACTACTTTGATAGGAAAAAAATCATTTCTTGGCTATTTTACAGTAGTTTAAAACTTTATTCTTTTGGTGGGACTAGTGTTTGAACTCAGGTCTTTGCACTTGCAAGGCAGGCGCTCTATCACCTGAACCACACCACCAACCCAAAAAAATGCAGCAATATTAATGCAAATGTTCTTCCTAAAGATGTCAAAAATGTTAGTTACAACAAATCAGAAGTCCAGAAGATGAATTACCTAGGTTAGCTGTAATGTAGTAATAAAGTAAAAGTCAAAAAGCGCAAGGATTTTTTTATCCCTTTAAAGCTTTTCTGTCCACTACTGACAATTACAAATTAGACTTCAAAACTTTTTGACAGGTATTAAACATTTTTAAATATAATTGATGTTTGTAAAACAAACTTAGATCTAAGTACTAGTATGTGGGAAATATTCTGTAAATAAAACGTGTAAATTTTCCTTTACCTTCAAGTGCCCATAAAACTTTAAAACGATTAAAACCACCTTTAAAATTAAGGCTTAAAAGCAATGTTCAATAAGCGTCAAAATCTATATCGTTTTTTATTTTTTGGGTTAAAAATTAAATGAGCTTTTCTTCTACCCTGACGTAACTCTGACATGACTTACAGCTGAAACCAAAAATTTTTTTTAAAAAGTGACCCCGAAAAGTTTCACTTTTAAGTACACTATAAAGAGAGTTCTCTGTGCCATATTCATGTGAAATCAGTCTTAGAATAGAAGCATTTAAAGGCGGTAATTTGCCATCCTCAAAACTAGCGGTTATCTTCGAAATGACCTACCTACTCTTGAACTGTACGTAATACAGAAATGGCGGCTTTGTGGTCAATGCCAAGCACATTTAGTCCCCCAAATCAAACAGCTTCCAAAGCATTCTTTCCACTACCAGCAGTGTCCCACACGCTCAAGATACAATCAGGCAGGCAGTAAACAACCTAAGCAGGAGAGGTGTAACCACAACGCTCTCTTCTCTCATTGGGTCCCCTCAATCCCTGAAAACTAGGGATTATCCAGCAATGTTTGACTCTACAAGTGATTACTAAAATACCTTCACTGCCCCTCCAAGAAGCTACACGATACTAGTTCCCGTCTAAACCCCAGAAAACCGTAACCGTTGTTTAATGGTAACTTCACACTAGGTGAAAAACAAGCCGCTACAAAGCCAGAGACATTAGGTGTGTGGGCACTCGCGGGCTCCATTCAGTAGAAACGCACCTCGGCAGGGCCCGCCCTCCCTCCCTCTCCCTCCTCCGCCCCCCCCGCCCCCCCGTGATCTGCAGCACTTCTAACTATAGCACACGGGCGCACGCACTCACCCCGCCCTTACTCGGAGGAGGCATGTAGACTAGGCTCCTGAAGTTCACCGCCCCATTCTCTAGGCAGCATGGCCTCTGCGTGATCGCCAGAGGTCCGGACTGGGCCAGCATTTAACGATCCCTCTACTACACCACTTCCTCCCCTCCACCCTGCACTCAGAAGACATGGGAATGAAGGAGAATCCGGGCATCTTCCACCGTACACCGCCACCAATAAACGATTCGGCCAACTTCACACACACATACACACGCCCCCCGAAAAGAAAGCTCCAACACAGAACCCCGTTTACAGATTCCTGGAAAATGAACTCATCTTTCCTACTTCCCGTCCTACTTTGAAGAAGAAGAAAAAAAAAAAAGAAAGAAAGAAAGGCAAGCTTTCGAGTTTCCTTGCAGGAGAAGCAGAGACTCGGGAGCCCCTCCCTCCCCCATCCCAAGCTCTCCACCGAGGGGGCCACGTGATGCAGGCGGACGTTTCAATGCTGCTGCACTAAATATTTCTGGAAACTTCCACTCCTAATAATTTACAGAGACGTTCCTGAAATCACCCCAACTTCTCCCCAGTCCAACGGGCTTGGGGAAGCCCTTCCACGCCCGCGCGGGGGCTCTCCTTCACCACCACCACACTACGCTCCTTCCTCCTCCACCTCCACCCGCACACGCCAATGACCCTCAGCCAGCGCTCCCCTCCCGCGGCCGCCTCCCCGCCTCCATCCCCAGCGACAGAAGCAGCTCCATTCAATCGCGGGCCCGGCGCGCCCGCCGCCGCCTCCCGGGCTCGCCTCCCGCCGCGCCCCACGCCGGCGTCCTCCCGCCCGGCCGCGCCGCCGCCCGACCCTCGGCCACCGAAGACACAGCCGACTTACCCAGAAATTGAACCAACTGCTTCTTCCTTCCTTGTCAGGGCTTAGGGCGAGGGAAGGTGGGGAGGGGGAAGAGGGGACGAAATCGAGGTGGGTTTCAGTTTTCCCACCTTAAAAAAAGGAAATAAAAAAACGGAGAAGGGCAAAAAAAAAAAAAAACTCAGTATTTACTATTCCAGGGACACCTCCCCCCAACACACACACCAAACACACACACACACACGCGCGCACTCACCCGCCCCACCAAAAAAAGGGGGGGAATTAATCTAAGGAAAAATGCTCCCGCCTGGCTGGGGAGTGAGGAAAGGGGGAGGGGATCAGGGTCAAGTCCCAAAGATTCAGCCCTGGGAGGACCCTGCAGCCACAGGCGGCAGCAGGAGCGGCAGGAGTAGGGGGTGTAGAGTCCACACGGCCGGGGAACGCTCTGCTGCCAGTTGCAGTCCGACTCCCCCCTACCAAAACACGGCTCCCTCTCTCACGCGGCTCCGGCGCTGGGCCCCCCCCCACCAAGGCTCGCCTAAACTTTCCCCCCTTCTCTTGCTCCTCAGCGACTGGTGGCTTCCCCCTCCCCCTCTGGGTGGTTGCACGGACTGCAGCAGCAAAGACTGGAACAGGCACCGCCGCCGGGGCTGTAGCTACTGTTGCTCTTGCTGATGCTGTAGCTCCCGCTGCTCCTGCCGCGGCCGCTGCAGCCGCTTCTCCCCCTCCTTCTAGTGCCTCAAACTCGGAACCGGTTGAAACCGGTTCAGACTGGGAGATTCCATCTCGGTTGAGTTTTCAGCCCATGGCGCCGCGGAGCGTTTGGAACCTGGGCCTCCGCCCCCAGCCCGCTCGCCCATTGGCCAGTTCCAGCCACAGCCGCTCCATCAGCACATCTTTTATTGGCTCGAGCGCCGGTCAATCTCACCTCAAGACTCCACACGAGTCTGCCGCTTAGGCCCCCGCCTCTTTCCAGCAGCGATTTGCCCGCAGAGTGGGGGAGGGGAGGTGGGGCGGGTCGAAAAGGATTGAGGAGGGGGGGATGAAGGAGGAGCTAGTGGGACCGAGAACTGAGCCCAGCAGCGAAGATTGCTTAGGTAAGTCACATGGAGGATTGGCTCGAGCGAGCTGTCAATCAAACGCAGCCCGCCTTCGACTTCCCTTCCCCCTCCCCTTAGCTCCCCCTCCCAGCGCGTGGCTTGCAGGTCCAGCCTTTCCGGGCTGCTCATTGGCTGAGCGCCTTTGGTGACGGAGAGGGTGGGGCGCAGCTCGTGAGCTGGTGGCGGCGCGAGTTTGAGCGCGGCGCGCGGCGGCGTTCTCTCGGCTTCCTCCGGACCAGCGCCGGCCCGCCTTCGCCAGCTCCCGCCAACCTGCGGGGGCCTCAGCCCGCGGGGACCAAGACCCGCCCCTCGGATGGGGGCTGCGCTGGGAAAACGGAGGGCAAGTCCAGTTGTTTTTAAGTCAGGGAGGGGTGGAAGAAAAGGAGCGGAAAGAACACAGCGGAGGCCGATTGTAGGCCTCGGATCTCCGTAGTCCATTGTGGAGGCCTGCGCTTTGGGGCCCTGGAGTCGAGGATTCGAATACCGGGGCCGAGGTTGGCTCGAGCTGTGGGGCGCCTCGTGATCTTCTCACAGTGGTGGAAAAGGTATCGAGATAGAGGGCGAGTCTCCTTAACATTTTGGCTGTCTCCCCAGTCTGGAATTTGGCTGGCTTCGAGAACAAATCCATCCTAAAAGCTAAAACACCATGATCGCTGTTAACTGGCTTCATAACGCACATGGCCACTGGGTAAACCTTGTATGCCAACTGCTTTCCACCCAGTGCCCTTGAACTGCCACGGCCAGTGTTTCTTTTCAGTTTAGTGCCCTTTACATACTTCATCATCATCAAATAGTATTTTCCATGAAAGTCACGCACATGGCCTTTCACATGGCTGCCTCTTGTTTGTCCCCAAGTGTCCAAAGCAACTTTACAGATTGTTCTTGCTTTAAAAAGACCTAGCAGCCTTCCAAAATTTACTAGGTCCACTGTGCCACCAAGAGGCAGATAAATGGTTTATTGAAGCAACACAGGTTTCTTTAGCAAATCTTTACTCACAATGGACAATGGAGAACACCAAAGCACCACTTAAGGATAGATAACTCCCTCCCCCTACAGTGGATGCCCCACAGCATCTCAATGCTTAGATGTACCAAAATATAGTACAGGATGACTTCCAGACTAGGATTTTTAGTCATTGTGTAAGTGAATTTAAAAAAAAAAATTGAAGCCACAATATATAATGTATATGATATACGCTGATAATAGATTCTATTATCAGAAAAACCAGAGGGCTGGCGGAGTGGCTTAAATGGTAGAGCACCTGCCTAGCAAGTCTGAGGCCCTGAGTTCAAACCAAAAAAAAAAAAACCCTGAAACTATTTTTTTTTTAAGTTTTTCAAAACAGGGTGTGGTGGTACATGCTTGTAATCCCAGCATTGAGGAAACTGAGGCAGCAGGATCCAGAGTTAAAGGCTCATCTGGAACTGGGCTCTGGTGTCTCACTCCTGTAATCCTAGCTACTTAGGAGGCTGAAATCAGGAGGACCACGGTTTGGAAAACTAGCTCCAAAATAACTAGAGCAAAATGTCTAAATGGACTGGAAGTGGTATAGCACCTGTTTTGCAAGCTGGAAGCCCTGCGTTCAAAGCCCACTCCCACCAAAAAAAAAAAGGACACAAAGACCAGCCTGGGCTACATGTGAGATGTTGTCTCCAAAGAAAAAGTTTCTTTCCCCACATGTTTAGCTCTTGGACCAAGCACACTGATTTTTTTGGATAGCAGAATAGTAGGAATAAAAGCCAACTGGTTTTGCTCAGAGTGTAACCTTGGGCACGTCACTTCACCTCTTTGGCTATCAATTTTTTTCTTACCTGTTTAATGAGACTGATATCTTCCATGTCTGGCTCACAAGTTGGAGTTAAAGACCAAATAAATGTGAAAGAGTAGTGTAATCCATACAGCACTATGTGGATTGTAAAGTTTGAATACTCCCCTTCTTTGGTTCTTTTAGCCCAACTTTAAGTCATATGCCAAGAGGTCAGGTTGACCATAGTGAATCAGATGCAAAAATTTGGTCCATCCGTTTTGCCTAGAGTTAGCCAAAATGAAGTAGTCCAGATAAGGGAAGTGATGGGGCAGAGCATTAAGTTTTTGTTTGGTTTCTGGCAGTACTGAGGCTTGAACTAAGTGCCCAGCAACTTGATCGAAAGGCACTCTGCCACTGGAATCATGCCCTCAGCCCTTTTTGATTTAGTTATTTTTCTGATAAGATTTCAAACTTTTTGCCTGGGCTGGTCTGGATGGCAATCTTCCTACTTATACCTCCTGCATAGCTGGGATTACAGCAGTGACACCCCCCCCAGCTTGTTTGTTGAGCTGGGGGTCCTGCTAATTTTTTGCCCAGGCTGGCCTTTCATTTGTCCCTATCCTTTCTCTTGCCCAGAAGCAATAGTTGAGGAAACTGTGTACACTGTGAGAGATTTTCTTCACATTTACAAAGGTTCACTTTGTGCTTTGGTCAATATATATGACATCATATGACACATACTGTTGAGCAATTTGCTTTTTACTTAATAGCTCAGAACATATGCATCCACCTCATCCTTGTTAATAGCCCTATAGTCTTCCCCATCTTTTCAGTGCCATAAATGATTCAACCATTTCCCCACAGAGGACAATTTGGCTATTTCCTGTTTTCCCTCTAACAGTACTGTTACAGTGAATAGCCCTTAAATTTATCTGCCAGAGGCATGGCTCAAGTGGTAGAGGTCCTGAGTTCACACCCTGGTACTGTCAAAAAAAAAAAAAAGGACTACACAAATTATAAATTTAAATACTCATACAATGTAATTTTAAAAATTAAAGTCATGTAATAAATTCATTTTAATAACAGCATTGAGTGTTTCACTGTTTTTGAGAAAATTAATAGCACTTTGCCCTCAGGATACAGGAGTAATTATGCAATATGCATTTCTTCCCAACAGCCATAACAAACAGGTACTTGGGCTGAACATACTATGGGTTTGACTTGGTGTACATATATGTGTAGTGAGCACACATTTACAGTTCACCATTCACCATTCACAATTCACCATTTTCTTCCAGCAAATCTCTTAAGTCATGTTTGTGATTTTGTAAGGCTCTGAAGAGAAGCGCTGGGAGAGATACTTATTTGTGAATTAGGAAATTGTTTCTCTTTTATGCTTTTAAAAATCCTTCATAAGGGCTGGGGATGTAGCTCAGTGATAGGGCATTTGCCTGGTGTGCATGAAGTCTTGGGTTCCATCCCTAGCACTGCCAAAAAAACGAAAAGAAACCATCATAAAACTATAGCAGGGCTGGCAGAGTAGCTCAAGTGGTGGAGCACCTGCCTAGCAAGTATGAGGCCCTGAGTTCAAATCCCAGTACTGCCAAAAAAAAAAACCTATAACACATCACAGCCCTAGATTTCAAAAACATCACTGATCTAACTTGGACAACAGTATAATTGTGTATGACGCTGAAGCATAGAGGTAGGAGAGAAGGGACACCCTTTTCAAGAAAAACTAACCTAGGAAGGCATAGACCAGGTTGCAACCATATACCTATCAGGTTCAATGTGCAGTGTTGCAAACGTTTATAAAAAAATGTGTGAGTATTCTGTCTGTGGAGTTAAGGTCTTGCATCACCAAAACCTCAGTGAATAATCTGCATGGAGTCTATGAACACAAATCAATCAGGAACAGACTCAGCAATTGTCTGAAAGTGAGGGTTTTTTTTGTTGTTGTTTTGTTTTGTTTTTTGTGGTGCTCCACCAGTCCTTTTTATTTATGTTATTACAATAATAAAGGGATTGATTCCAGCCAGGGTGGTAGTCATGAAAGGGTTTAGATTCTGAATCTATTTTGAAAGTAAAGTCAAAAGAAATTCCCATAGGATTGGATTGGACTGTGTTAAGAGAGAGGATTCAAGGATGACTCCATGGATTTTGACCTCATAACTCAAAGGGTGGAGGTGCCATACTCTGAGTTGGGCAAATCTGCAGATGATAAAGATTATATATAGGGAATGGGCTAGAACTAGGCTTTCAATTCCTCATCACACATAAACTCCCTAAAGATAGGAGCTTTCAGACACATCTT